TTATCCTGCAGTAGAGCAGCGATCTGATTCACTCGTGTGTCTCCTAGTTCACGTTCACTCAGATTCAGCTCTCTCAGGAGTAACGGGTTTTTACCCACAATTCCAGTCACATACTGACAGGCTTCATCTGCAGCAGGACTCAAAAACCTGCAGATGAGATGATAAAACAAGTTAAATTCAATTCACTACTAAACTTAGTGTGATAAAAAAATAGCAGCTAACTTTGTGTTATCTTTGATTATTTTTGATGCAACAGATTGCAATAATGAAACAATATTTCCATAAATAATCATATAAATAATAAGCATTATTTAATTAATTTTTTTCATCATATCTGACCTCAGTTTTAGTTTACACTCTGGATCCTTTAGAGAATAAAGAAGCTGCTTCACTCCTGATTGTCCAGGATCATTTCCTGTGAGATCCAGCTCTATCAGGTGTGAAGGGTTTGATCTCAGAGCTGAAGCCAGAGCTTTATAACCTTCTTCAGTAATACTGCAGTTTGACATTCTAGAGGAAGACAAAAACAACCAAATATATTAACTACTCATTAAATAATATCAAAGTTTAATTACCAGGCGCCGGTTGCATGAAAATCCTTAAGTATTTTGACTTAAGGGTATCCCTCAGGGGGAAAAAATTCCCTGAGGTAAGGGATTTCATTAAGAGTGTTACAACAAACTTCTTAACTGTCACCCTTACTTAAGTGTTTATACTAAGTGTTTCACTGTAGTTTCTGGCAACACACGGCAATGGGTGCTGCGGTTGCTATAGTTACTACATCTCACAATAAACCGAACGCAACAAAACAACCCCAGCTGTACAAATATATTTGTGTTATGGAGAATACCAAGAGCACAAAAAACATAAAACTGGACTGAGGTGAGACGGAGGATTTACTGATGGTAAATTTGATACTCTCTCAATAATTGCGTTTTGAAATGAGCGCGATTTTAATGATCATTACAATTGCGCATATTTAAATCATTTAAAGCAGCCTATTTTGATCATTAAAAATGTGCCTTCCTCCTCTTCAGTTAACATAAAATCAGCTATTGCGTTTGAGTTTAAGATGACTTACGGGAGCTTTTGGTCCCTTAAATTTATTAAGGTGAAATGGTTGACTTTGTAGTAACACTTAAGGGAACACTTAAATAATTAAGGAGAATACTTAATGACAGCCTTAAGGTTCCTTAAGTTGACCCTTAGATTTCTTAATTGCAACCCAAGTTTCACTAAGGCTTCCCTTAACTTTCTAACTTAGGGATTTCTTAGCTCAAGGGCTTTCATGCACACCTGAGTATCTTTAGTGTGCATTGTGAATTTCCCAGTAGAGTGGAGATTTCTGTTACTCCAGGATCTCCTAGTGGATTCTCACTCAGATCCAGCTCCATCAGGTTTGAGGGGTTTGAATTAAACGCTGCAGTCAGAGCAGCACAACCTTCTTTTGTAATACAGATACAATTAAACCTGTATAACAGAGAACAAAAAAGAATAAAATCTAAGCTATGCATACAACTTTTATTCACTAATGAGATTTTCATAAATCCCTTGTTTTGCAGCACTGTCCAGTTGTTCTAGGTTTAGATTTACTTACTTAAGCTTTTCCAGTCTACATTGTTTGTTCTCAAACAGAGTCGAGAAGATCTTCATTCCTGTGTCTCTGAGTTCAGTCCCAGTCAAATCCAGCTCTTTCAAATTTGAAGGGTTTGAATTTAAAGCTTCAGCCAGAACACGACAATCTTCATCTGTGATATAGCTATTATTCAGACTGCATAAAGAAAAAACTAATTTTCAGTTTTAGACCCTACTTTTACTATTACATGTATTATACATGACAATGGATGATGCTTTTATAATATTACAATCATCCATTGTCATGTATAATACATGTAATAGTAAAAGTAGGGTCTAAAACTGAAAATTAGTTTTCTCTTCATGCAGTCTGAATAATAGCTATATCACAGATGAAGATTGTGGTGTTCTGGCTGAAGCTTTATATTCAAACCCTTCAAATTTGAAAGAGCTGGATTTGACTGGGACTAAACTCAGAAACACGGGAATGAAGATCTTCTCGACTCTGTTTGAGAACAAACAATGTAAACTGGAAAAGCTTAAGTAAGTAAATCTAAACATAGAACAACTGGACAGTGCTGCAAAACAAGGGATTTATGAAAATCTCATTAGTGAATAAAAGTTGTATGCATAGCTTAGATTTTATTCTTTTTTGTTCTCTGTTATACAGGTTTAATTGTATCTGTATTACAAAAGAAGGTTGTGCTGCTCTGACTGCAGCGTTTAATTCACAACCTTCTTTTGTAATACAGATACAATTAAACCTGTATAACAGAGAACAAAAAAGAATAAAATCTAAGCTATGCATACAACTTTTATTCACTAATGAGATTTTCATAAATCCCTTGTTTTGCAGCACTGTCCAGTTGTTCTAGGTTTAGATTTACTTACTTAAGCTTTTCCAGTCTACATTGTTTGTTCTCAAACAGAGTCGAGAAGATCTTCATTCCTGTGTCTCTGAGTTCAGTCCCAGTCAAATCCAGCTCTTTCAAATTTGAAGGGTTTGAATTTAAAGCTTCAGCCACAACACGACAATCTTTGTCTGTGATGTAGCTATTATTCAGACTGCATAAAGAGAAAACGAATTTTCAGTTTTAGACCCTACTTTTACTATTACATGTATTATACATGACAATGGATGATTGTAATATTATAAAAGCATCATCCATTGTCATGTATAATACATGTAATTCAATCATCAAATAAAAAAAAAAAAAACACTCAGCAGCAGGTTCAATACTAACTAAAATGTGACATCATAGTGGTAAAACTTACACCAGTATGTTCAGTTTACAGTGTTTATCCTGCAGTAGAGGAGCGAGCCGCTTCAAGTCTAGTTTATGTTTACTCAGATTCAGCTCTCTCAGAATTAATGGGTTTTCATCCACAATTCCAGCCACATACTGACATGCTTCATATGCAGCAGGACCCAAAAACCTGCAGATGAGAAGGTGAAGCAAATTAAATTTGATTGAAAAAAACTTAGTGTAACAAGCAGACTGTGTTCTAAATAATGTTTCTGTAATTTATTTATTTGTATTTCATATATTTTTATTATTTCATCACGTCTCACCTCAACAGTGTCTTTAGTTGGCAGATCGGATCATGTCGTAAATCATTGAGCTGCTTCACTCCTGATGGTCCAGGATCATTTCCTGTGAGATCCAGCTCTATCAGGTGTGAAGGGTTTGATCTCAGAGCTGAAGCCAGAGCTTTATAACCTTCTTCAGTGATACTGCAGTCTGAGAGTCTAAATCAGGAATGAAAATAGTCCATTATGCTAATTAGTCCAAACTAATTGAAAAATTATTTTCAAGCCAAAGATCTTTAACTCTATCCTCGCCATTGTTGGAATTTCCCATAATTAATGAGACAACTCTTTCCTGCTATTGACAGAATTTTTGGGCTTCCTATGTTTTGTTCAAACTGTTTGCTTTTTGATTTGAAGTGATAAAAACAGAATGCATCATGCAGAATGCAATGATTTTTTTTTTTTTATTTGGTTAAAAAGCAGAACCTCTGTTGTGTGATATTCACACAACAAAATATTCTAATTGCCATGAGCATTTTGTGAAAATTATATTTAAAAAAATGTTGGCGGTGAATGGCAACTTTTTAAAAAAGGTGGCAGGGAAAGAATAAATATGAAGAAAGAAACATCAGCTCACCTGAGTATCTCCAGTTTACAGTTCTCTTTCAGTCCATCAGAGAGCAGCTTCACTCCTGAATCCTTCAGATTATTATTGCTCAGATCAAGTTCCTTCAGATTGCTGGAGTCTGAACTGAGAACTGAAGTGAGAGCTGAACAGCTTTCCTCTGTTAGTACACATTTACTGAGCCTGAAAATAAACAGCTTGTCAATGTATTCACATTCTAAAATTTGCTGTAGTGGTAGTGCTGCTGTAATGTTTAATGAGTAGTGACAAGTGCTTTACTGCAGCTATAGGCAAAATGCTAATGCTATAATTTACAGTAACTATATTGCTGCCACTAATTTTCCAATCCACTTGTCTTTAATGCTCTCATGTCACATGTGTCTTGTCTCTCACATGTCTTATGATTGGCTAACATATAGCTAGTTGGGTCGGGTAATGCTTTCTGGCTCTAATTCCTTGTTTCTTTTAATTTAAGCTTTGCCACAAAACGTGTTTTTTCCACAATAAAGAAAAGGCAAAAAGCAGGTAAATTTTCATGGGGTGATCAAAACCACCATGATTACATTATAATTTATCATTAAACATCCTTATCAGTCAAACAAAAGATGTAAAATATAGGGGACCTGTTATGCAAAAATCACTTTAATAAGGTGTTTAAACACAGTTGTGTGACTGCAGTGCAGTGTTAATTTTGACAGCAAATTTTGATTTAGTTTTAGTCATAGTCTTTTGACAAAAATGTCATTGATTACAACCCGCACTGAAGCAGTCGGAAGCCATGCTGCACAAGCCTGTAGAGCGCGCAAACGGTGCCGCGTTTTCTGAGAAGGGTATAACTGCAGCCTGGAGATCTCCAAATGGGAGAGGGAAATCCAAAACGAGGTGGGAGCTCCAAAATAGGGCGTGGCTTCCTCCAATTGACAGATAGGCACATGACACGCATGCGCAATTTTTTATCCTAATCCACTTCAGCGTAAACTCCGCCCCACAGCTGATTGTAAAGATTTTATTGGTCGTGTTATTCTTTATTGTGAAGTGACATGTGGCCAAGTATGGTAACCCATACTAGGAATTAGTGCTCTGCATTTATCCCATCTAAAGTGCACACACACAACAGTGAACACACACACCGTGAACACACACCCGGAGCAGTGGGCAGCCATTTTTTTGCTGCGTCACCCGGGGAGCAGTTGGGGGTTTGGTGCCTTGCTCAAGGGCACCTCAGTCATGGTATTGAAGGTGGGAGAGAGCGCTGTACATTCACTCCCCCACCTACAATCCCTGCCGGTATGAGACTCGAACCCGGGTTATGAGTCCGACTCTCTAACCGTTAGGCCACGACTTCCCCAAAGCGTTGTATTTGTGATAGCACAGTTATTTTTATTTTTATTTTTATCCTTGTGTGTGTAATTCATAAATGCATATTTATTATGCACAGTACAATCAGATGACTGACTTTTAACAGGCTTGTACTTGCTAATAGTGGAATGTTTATTTGCAAAGGCCAGCACTCTTGAAGCTCCGCCCTCTTCTCCAGGAGCACCAGCTCATTTGCATTTATAGGGACAAACACAAAAATGCAGCATTTTGGCTCATACCTTAAAAGTGGCAATTTTAACAAGCTATAGAAAATTATCTGTAGGGAATTTTGAGCTAAAACTTTATTTACACACTCTGGAGACATCAGAGACTTATTTTACATCTTGTAAAAAGGGGCATAATAGGTCATCTTTAAGCACATTGCCCATGTTTTGGAACAAAGTAGATCATGCAGTGGAAAATTCGACAGTAATTATAATTTGCATTATTTTATAACAATTCATCATTTTTGCACAATTGTTCAAGATTATCTAGAACAATAATGGCATTTGTCTGTTGTCACAACTTACTTCAGTATCTCCAATTTACACGTCTCCAGTCCAATGCAGAGCTGCTTCACTCCTGAATCCAGTAGATTGTTATTGCCCATATTCAGCTCGGTCAGATTGTTATCTGATCTGAGAGCTTTAGCCAAATTTGAACAGCTCTCATCTGTTAAGTCACAATCATTTAGCCTAGAAGAGAAAAAAAACTGAATACAAAGTATTCTGAGTACTGAGTAAAAATATCATATCACCCAATTTAAATTAATGATTAAGAACTATAGATATCTTTTTCAGATGCAAAAACATGACATATTACTTACAGAGCTCTTTTGGAGATTTTTAAAACTTCCAATAGCCTAAAGAGACACTCGTCTGATTTCTTGAACTTCTGAAGGTCAAACTCATCCATCTCTTCCTCTGATGTCAACAAAACGAAGGCCACAGCAGACCACTGGGCAGGAGAAAGATCACCAGATGAAAGACTTCCTTCTCTAAGTTGAGTCTGAATCTCGTTCACCAGAGTTTGGTCGTTCAGTTCATTCAGACAGTAGAACAGATTGATAAATCTCTCTGGAGACATCTTCTTATCTTCTCATTTCTGCTTGATGTACTGGACTATTTCCTTGTAGTTTTCGTCATTGCCATCTTGCTGTGTCAACAGACCTCGTAAGAGTGGACGATTGGTCTGGAGTGACAGACCGAGAAGGAAGCGAAGGAAAAGGTCCAGGTGTCCAGTTTCACTCTCGAGTGCCTTGTCCACTGCAGTCTTGAGCAAATCAATCATGGTTTCATTTTTGTTTTCCTGTTCTGTAGACTCATGATGATCAAACACACTTTTCTTGTTGAGGTCTAGAAACAGATGTGCATAAAGGGCTGCAATAAACTCTTGAATGCTCAAGTGAACAAAACAGAAAGTGGTACCAAGAATGATCCCTTTTTCCTCCTTAAACATCTGGGTACACATGCTTGAATACACTGATGCTTGGGAGGCATCAATACCACAGGATTCCAGATCGGTGTCATAAAAGAGCAGATTGTTTCTTTGCAGCTGATGAAATGCCAGTCTCCCCAGTGAAAGGATGGCATCTTTATCCCAGGAAACATCTGGTGTGTATTCTCCATCATATTTTCGTCTGCTCTGCAGGATCTGAAAGCGGAGAAAGTGTGTGTACATTTGTGTCAGAGTCTTGGGAATGTCTTCAGTATTTGATTCCTGCAGTATTTTGGAGGCGTCATCAGCCTGACTGTTTTTCAGATCATTATTTATTTTCTCCTCTAAAATGTTCTGGAGAACAGTGGCTGAAATCCAGCAGAAGACTGGGATGTGGCACATGATAAGCAGACTCTTTGATTTTTTTACGTGATCAATGATTTCACTGGCCAGATTCTGATCAGTGAATCTTTTTTTGAAGTACTCCTCCTTTTGTGCATCATTGAA